GGCGGCCGGTGCCCACCATCCTGCAGGTCTTCCTGGAGAAAGTGCGCCAGACCCCGCACAAGCCTTTCCTACTCTTCGGCGAGGAGACGCTCACCTACGCGCAGGTGGACCGGCGCAGCAACCAGGTGGCGCGGGTGCTGCACGACCACCTCGGCCTGCGCCAGGGAGACTCCGTGGCGATCTTTATGGGCAATGAGCCGGCCTACGTGTGGCTGTGGCTGGGGCTGGCCAAGCTGGGCTGTGCCATGGCGTGCCTCAACTGCAACATTCGCGCGAAGTCCCTGTTGCACTGCTTCCAGTGCTGCGGGGCGAAGGTGCTGCTGGCCTCCCCAGGTGAGCTCTGGGGACCGCCCCTCCCTGGCCCTAAGGCTTCTCCGCGCCTTGAGTTACCATCGCAACCTAGGGTCGCAGAAAGATTCAAATTAGAACTAAGGATGTAGAGGGGGAGATGGCAATGTTTCCTTGAAAAGTTGATTAATAATCGTGAGAACCACTTGTTAGGTAAAAAGATAGTGTCAGGTCGTGTGTTAAGCACCATCCATACTGTCGCTTTTAATGCTCACGACAGATAAGGTTTAAGAGGAAACTTTTTAAAAAGTGTTTGCTATAAGGCGAGTGTGCTTGCCAGAGAGAGGAAAAGTGAGAGATCACCTCTCGGGGGAGGAGGGCGCTGGCCCGCAGCAATCCCTTCTCCAGTTTCCTCTTGGGATTTTGGCCATGCACATATGGCATGATTTTCAAGAGGCTGGGTTTGGGACTCTGACCACACAGACGGCCATGTGGGATCCAGCACCTTAACCTCCACCACCTGGCCTCCCTAAGGGACTTTCATAGATGGATCACTGAGGCCTGAAGCCTCATGCCCCAGATCACAGAGGTGGAGTAGGAGTTCACCAGGGCTGTCTACCTCTAAAGTCCAAGCTCTTAACCAATGCTTGCATCTGCTGTACAGTACAGAGGGTCATGAGTGTGAAATCCAGTGGACCCGGGCAAAGTGTTCTCATCTGCCTCCTAACTGGCTGTGTGATCGTGGGAAAGTCACTCTGCCTCTCTGTCCTTTGGTTTCCTCCTCTGTAAGAGGCAGACTTCAAGACCGCGGTCTGCTCTCAGCGGTTGTTAGCATCCTCTCTGCAGTCCTCTCACTGTAGAGAGAAGGGGATTCCCCACTGAAGAGAAAGGCCTGGAGGACCTGCTGCGGTACCTGGTGAGCCGCCATACCATTGGCCGTAACAGTGAGCCTTTGGTTCTGTGGTTACCCATTGCCACATTTCAGCCAGACCTGAAATGTTAACTTAAGGCTAAAGTGATCACCAGACCAGGTAGAGATTGAGAATCCTGTTACTCACAGGACTGATGGTTTTCCTCTATCAGAGAGTGTGTGTCTGCCCTTGAATAAGAAGCAACAATTGTTAATCTCTTCATCACTAAGAAGAAGCCTAGCCAGGTGTGGACTGAAAGACATGGGTGACAAAGTAAGGGCTTAGACAGCCAGGAAGCCTCACCATTCTGTGCCAAGCTGTGTGCTGGATGCTTTCATTTCATTTGAGAAATCATATAATAACCCTCCACCACCACCACCCACCCCCTCCTCCCCCGCTCCCACCCGTCCATTACACAGTTGAGGAAACTGAGGCTTAAACTTCTGACCTAGGTCTGTACAACCTCCCAGCCCATGTTCTTTCCCAGCATCGTTGTCTTCTGCATGGATGGAAGGTATTTAAGTGGAAGGGATCAAGCACCCAGCTGTTCTTCTCCCTCTTTTCATAGCTGGGGAAATGGAGGCAAGTTAAACCGTTTGCCTAGAGTCACAGAAAGATAAAATGTTGATTCTTTTGTAAACAACCAGGAAGCTTGTTTCATGTGGCATAAAATAACCCAGAACACACACGCTTCATATAAATTTAAAAGCAGGGAACCAAGTTAAAGGCAGCTAAATTATCTGAAGGTGACAGTCCTTTCAAGAGAACTTCTAACAATTTCTTCTTGCCTGGGAAGACGGACTCTATTTAGTATCTGGAAGACTTTCCAAAGCCTATTACTTTACAGTTTAGTTAGAGGGAGGTTATTAAAATGTACTTTGTACCCCTTTAGGAGGTATTTAGAACTATTTATCTGTTTAGTATTCCAGGCCCCCTAGGAAGGAGTTCACAAGGTGTGGAGTTTTTCTGACAAAGAAATTTGGGGCTAAATGCTTGTAATAAAGTCAGAAATACAACCAGCTACCTCCTTCCCTGCCTATATGACAGTTCTCAGCCAAAGACTACATCCAAATCGAACATGATCTAAACTTTCCAGAGAACACAAGGCATTCTCTGGCTGTAAAATGACCTTTGAGTTAGGTCAGGCAAGCCTCCAGGTCTGGGACTCGAACCACGGCTGGCCATGTGTGAGTCCAACGCCCTTAGCCACCATGTCACCTGCCAGCCCCAAGGTGACACTTTTGAGAAACATTTTGTTTTTCACAACCACTGAGATACTTTTGCACACAATGCAGAATTACACTCTGGCCTGAACTGACTCCTGCAAAGGGAGTGACACAGAGTCCAAAGGTGCCGTTTAGTAAATATGCTCATGTGGAAATGTCTGAAGTGGGCTAATTCTTTAGAGTGGAAAGAACCCTTAGGGATATTCTAATCCTATAATCCTGTAACTTTTAATGAGTATGTTATATTTCAGGAAAAAAAAAAAACAGTTTAGAAAAGGAAGTTTAATGAGCATAAGAATCACCTGGAAAGCTTATTTTGGACAAATTCCTGAGCCCCATCCCCCAAAACGGATTCAATAGGACTGTGATAGCGGCCCAGGACTGTGTGTTTTTATAACAAGCCCCACCTCCAGATTATTTTTGAAGCAGTCTGACAACTAGGCTTTGAGAACATTCTAGTTTTCACACTGAACAAAGGCCCAGAGGGGTGACATGAATTGCCCAGGGTTATGTTGGTAGGTAGTGACAGAAGTGGGGACAGAACCCAGATTTTTTTTCTCATTTCCAGGATACTTTTTATTCTATCATACCATCTGAACATGGTACATAAAGGTAAGTTGGATTCTATACTTTGAATGCCAGCCTCAGGGCCTGTGGGCTACTAAGGGCTCTATTTCCAGCTGTCTGTCAAATTCTGGAGTACATGTAAAAGACCTACATAGTTGCATTTATCATGAGGATTGGGCCAGTTGTCATGAATGTGGGGGTGGGGGACTCTTTATAATGTTTAACAGGGTTAATACCTTCTGAAATTACTATACTTACAAAAAGTTAAGACTCACAAACACTTCCCTGAACCAAACAGAACACACATCTCTCAGAGAATATGATTTTCTCTCTGTTGTACATTTCAGAAAACTTCTCCATCACAGGGTCTGATCTAAGTAATCACAGGAGAAATTGTCCTCAACAATATGAATTTGAATCACTCTTGTAGCTGATAGGAGCCAACTTGCTGGACCAGTAGTTTTTCATACAACTTCTCAAGCACAAAATCTGGGTAAAAAGAAAGCATGTTTAGCTTCACATAACATGGGATACTTTGTAAAATTATCCAGAAGAGGCCTGAAATAGTAAACGTGTTTTATTTCTGTTTCTGCTGGAAATAAGATCATCATTTGGGTTGATAACTCAGGTCTCCGCATGAACTGTTTCATAAGCTCCCTGGCCAGGTCTGTGCTGCCTGGCTTAACATAACTTTCCAAGGCTCCCACAGTGTGGATACTACTCTTGTATGGGGTTTAGTAACACCTAAGGGTTCTTTCTATTACAAGACTAAGACCCGGAGAAAAGACCCAAACAGGTTAGAAAATGTTCCAGATTATCTATGACAAGGTTGAAAAAAAAAAAAATAGAAATTGGATGGCCCTTATTTAAATGATGCAGTAAAGGAAAATGCTTCCAAAAGTTTCCAAAAACATTACATCATTGAAAGCACTAAAACAAGAGAACTTGGGACCAGCAGTTAGCGTAATGGCTATGTCACTCCCACATAGTCGACCGCGGTTCGCATCCCGGACCCGGTGGCTTAAAACTCACACCAGGTGCGTGTGCATGCGTGCCCAGGATCCCAAGAGGAGAATGGAGGAGAAGGGATTGTGGCATGGCCATCCTCCCTGGTGGGTGATTAAGCAAATGCTGCAACAATTTAACTTTCAAATCAAGAAACATTAAGAGAGTCCCCACAAGGTACAACTAATTGCCACAATGGAATGGGGAGATAAGATGAATGAGTTCCAGGACCTCGCAGTCCAACAACAACAATGATAACAAAACACATAAATGATTGTGATGCCCAAGAGAATGTGATAAATATGCTGAAGAGCTACAGAGTAGCTGGAGGATGAAAGAAGGCTTCTTGGAGGCATTGACAATTGAGCTGCAGGAGAGCATTTCAGGGAAATGGAGTACTGCCTGAAGCTCTTGGGGTTTTTTTGTGTTTTTACTGCTAGAAGGCACATGCACTCATCAGACAGAGAAAGGGAGAGGAAAAAGGAGAAAGTACCCCCTAATGGGACACAATCACACTACGATCCCTTCTCCTCCTTTTCTCCACCCTATAAGGATTTTGGACATACATGCATGTGCACCCAGAATGTATTCCAATCCTCCAAGGTCAGAATTCAAACCGTGGTCAGCCATGTGAAACCTGGCTCCCTTAACCACTAGGTCATGAGGCTAGCTCATTGCTTTTGCTTTTCAAAGTTTATTTATTTCCTCCATGAGCAAGAGAGACAGACAGCACACCCAGTGGGATGTCACAAGCTTCAGCCAGCCCTAAATCCTGGGCATGCATATGCCTAGCATACCTCAGAAGGTCTCCAGACTGAACTAACTTCAGCCAGCTCCCAGCTTCAGCGAGCCCTAAAGCATGGGCATGCATATGCCTAGCATACCTGGGGAGGTCTCCAGACTGAACCCAGAACTTTCCCATATGGGTCTACCTCTCAAGCATCATATTTCACTACTGTGCAACTGTTGACCTCCACTGGAAGAAATTTGATTCTTTTTTTTTTTTTAAGAAAGATTTTTGCTATAGGGCACGTGCACTCGCTGGAGAGACAGAGAGAGACAGAGAGACAGAAAGTGAGAAACACTCCCCGGGGAGGTTGGACACACCACAGTCCCTTCTCTTCCATTCTCCTCTCAGGATTTTGGGCATACACACACAACTCCTGGTGTGAGTCTCAAGCCACCTGGTCTAGGACTCAAATCACGGTCAACTGTGAGAGTCCAGTGACACAACATTACACTTGGTCCCCAGTGAGATTCTTTATTAAAGAATTTGCTATATAAGAACAACAACTGAGTAGACTTAAATACTAGTTGGTTTTTAAAAACTAATTAA